TTTTGCTGGGAAAAGGTCCACTCTGGGTAAAATTTGACCTATGTACTTGAGGATTTTATGGTTAAAGGTCCACTTTTCAGAAAACGAACCCCCTCTGAAGTTGCTGGATACGGGCCTGGCATGTTAAGCAGTGCTAGAAAGTCGAATGTCAAGGATTATTTTCAATACAATACTCGGTTTTTAATTCTAACCAGATAAGCGTAAAAAGCTGTGCATAAATAATATCCGATAAATGCTTCGAATGGGAATGCACATTTAGTTTGTTTTGGCGCTGTCACATGCATGAATACTATAAGGGTGTATATATACTACGATTTCACCAGGTTCTGACAATATTCTGCTGTATCATTTAAGCAGCTGTAAATATAATTTCACGAACATAATCGTATAACCGTTGTATCCACATATGCAACAGACGGTAAAGCACTCTGTCAGGAATATAGCATTTCATTCACCACAGATTTTTAAAATCGACTAGACGATACGGGCAAACTCCATGTTCTCATGTTGGATAAAGCTCTTAAAAAAAAAAAGAAAAAGAAAAAAAGCCAAGTGACGGAATTGTTTTTTGAGAATGAAACTTCCGTTCAACGCCAGTGGCGGATTTAGTGGGAGAGTTCAGAGGTGTCCTGCCACCCCCTTCTTCGATTTCTCAAAAAAAAAAAAAAAAAAAAAAAAAAAAAACTCATACACACACCAACGATCCCCTTTTGAAATTAGAATTTTAACTATCTGAATAGTTCTAAACCGTACCAAATGGCACCATTCAACCTCTAAAATCCCCCTAAAAAACTTTCGGGGCCTTTCAGTGGGTCGGTTCCCCTTCGCAGACCCTCCTCCTCTTAAAAAAATCCCTGACCGGCCCCTGACCACCTATCATATTTGCATACGACAAGGTAACAGAAGCGATGTTTTTAATCGCTGTTTTCCTCAGCGTGTTTATATTGAGTGGTGAAAGTAGTGACACGGACAGACACAATAGATATGTGACCAGTTAGGCCGCTTTTGTTAGTGTTAACCGAAATGAGAATTAATAGGAAATTTACTTTAAATAATTGTCCATAAGAGGAAATGTAACTCTGTCATTGATTTTCGGGAGCATAAAACTCTGACGTGCCAAAACTATAATGTTAATACGTCAGGAATAAAATAATTTTGTGGGGTCGCAGACAGGCCAAATTGGACAAAGATGAAAATGTGAATTTGTCAAAAAAAATGTGCTTAAGAGTTGATCTCTTGATCGTGTCAAATGGGGGAGGGGATATGTCACGTAATAGCCAGGTTTTGAAGGAATAATACCTGCTCATTTTAGCAAAAAATTAAAAATTTCTCCAAACTTACCAACGGTCAATGAATCCTCTCTGTCATTCAAAGTTAGCCCCAGTTTATTTATTCATCTGTTTTTATTTTTTTCCTAAGAAGTTTTTTTTATGTTCTCTTGAGAGATTCTTACATAGGGTAGTGATCTGTGGAGGTCACGTGGTCCACAGATTCCAGAATAATTGCGATAACCGCCGTTTTGGTGGTAAACTAAAATGTAATATATTTCTATAAATTGATCACAATATATTTAATGTAAAATTTGGATCCCATACGAAGCGTTGTTATCCCTTTAAGTTACCAATCTCACAATGTATACAGGTACAGACAAGCATACCGATCGATGTGAAAAGATCTTTTTAGGCTATGGTCTTCAGGTAAACAGAGGTTTCACGAGCAGGTTAATGACTCGTTACACGCACTTGGTCACTTATCTCTCTCAACTTAATTACATGCCCCCGAAGACATTATCTCTCACAAGTCAATGAAGTCGAGCAAAAGTGATACATCGTGGCTCTGGAATGAGTAAATATCCAAGCCCATGTCTCTTTCACAATACGTTAATATGTAGTTTTGAAGTGCCCATAGAATAATCGCAGGCTGTCAGCTTTAATGAGTTTTACGTTTACAGATGCGTGTTTATTGCCCAGTTTAGCGAATTAGCAGCGTGTGAACGATGGGCTTTTTGTCGACCGATGCGTGTTCACCGCGTTGCTGCTTAAGATAATGGAATTGTTTAGTTTACATGTATGGTGGTGTAAATCATATTTCAGAACACAGAGTTAATGAATACATATATCAGTTCATGCACATATTTATCCATTCAACAGATTGAGCAGAGGAAAAACATTATAAGGATGATTGACAAATTGTAATCTACCTGATAATCACGATTGCCGGTTTAACATCCTGTGCCATGGTGCACTGGTTCTTTTTTTGCTAATGGCGGTGAAGTTAATCACTGGTAAATTGCACTGTAGACTTATTTCAGTTTTAAGATTACGTTATTATTTTTTAACATTTGTTCTATTATTATTATTATTGTTCATGCATTATATATCAGTGTTTTATTTGTTTTCATTTTTAATGCATTTCTTTAATTACTTCTAAAAAAACTGCAAATAATTTGTCCCATCTGTGAGCCTTATGGGTACATGTACTTCATGTGAGTTTTACTATAAGATATGTGTAGCAAAATGTCACAACTTTTGTTCCGTCTCATTGCAGGTATTCGTCCATTACCGTCACATTAACAGCCTCAGTCCTGTTTCTCCTGGCCATTGCTGTCGACCGCCACGTGTCAATCGTACACCCACTACGCTACCACGTGCTCATGACGCAATCAAGAGCCCGGATAATCGTCACCGCAGTGTGGCTCTCGTCTATCGGGTTTGCCTTCGTTATCCCAATGGTTTGGCATAATTCCTGGGAAGACATTCCAGACAGGGACTGTGACTTTGGAAAAGTCATGCCATGGGTTTATTTAGCGTGGTTGGTGCCTTTATTTATCATAAACACCCTTGCCATTCTTGGGCTCTACGGTAGGATATTTTACATAGCTCACGAGCGAGCGCATCGGATTCAAAGGTACAATACACAACCGAGATTGGCATTTACTACGAACTTAAAGATAGCGAAAACAGCAGCCATCGTGTTAGGACTCTTTATGCTATGCTGGTATCCGTTCTATTTGATAACGGCCATTCAGGTGTACGGTGGGTTGATATACTCCGAGACTTGGGAAGAATGGCGCAGTTACGCCACTATCTTAGCTATAGCGAACTCGGCACAGAACCCGGTGGTTTACGCATTCAGAATGAAAGCGTTTAGAAACGAATTCAAGAAACTGCTTCGTATAAAGCCTTCACAGAAACCAAACGTCGACTTGGAACGTTCTGTCACTACTCAGGTTGGGGATGGGAATGGCAGGGATGCCAGAAGCGCGTTAGACAATGGTGCCAGTCACAGCGAAGCAGCGTAACACAATACAGCCACGTTGAGAAGCATATTTGCCTCATATGTGCATGGTATGAGTAGGTGAATCCGCCACGCATATAACGTGTAACCCGCATATAACATGTAGCGTGTAACGCATATAACGCCTCCAGAATCGCCGCATCTTGTCATTCTGACAAATTAGGACAGGGACGATAATAGACGAGAACATACGAGAATAGAACACTCGCAATGCAGCCACATTGTGAAGGATTTTCGCCCCATATGTGCATGGGATGAGTAGGTGAATCCGCCACACATATAAGGGGTTAATGCGATCACAGCTTCACCTCCAGAATCGCCGTATCCTGCCATTCTGAGAAATTAAGGACAGGCACGACATAAAACGAGAACAGGCGAGAATAAAACACTCAAGGCTATCTCGGTCACGGTGCTAATATTACCTGTTCAAATTTCCATTGGATACATGCATTCTTGAGCAGTGCACCTATACTAAACGTATCTACAGAATGCTAATTATGACCCAAACCGTCCGCGACATGCAATCGACTCACTGTATCATTATCATCTAATTAGTGTGCTTCATGGTGTTATTACTATGACACCAATCATATTAATTATCGTTTATATATTACATATGACATGTCGTTTCACACAACTTGTTATGACGGCCACATACGTGTATAATCAAAGCGAAGAAAAAATTAATAACGAAGCAAAATTTAGGCAAAAATAACTAAAGGTAGTCATTAATAACCCCAGAAGCCTTATTTTTAGGTTTATTCAAATCTTCTTTTGTATATTTACATAATTTCATTCATACTTCACAGCTATTGTTTGATAAAAGGTAACTATTTACTGTGCATTATGTCCTTTGATTACCTTTTCTTGATAAGTTTACGTTTGTGAAGACCATTTAGACTGGAAAACGAATAGAAAGTGGCATTCACCCTGAAAGGTTTGAAAAATCGTTTTTTCTTCATCTCATCAAGAAAACGCTTAATTACAATTACCTCATGAGTGATTTCTTTATAATATCTGAGTAAGCCGTTGAATTCAGCTATTTTAAAGAATCATTAACATTTTTAAACCAACTGATCTAATAAATTATGTATGATTGATAAAGTTGATCTGTTGTAAAAAAAATGGGGTGGGGGTATAATGTGAAATTACGTACTATATTTTGAAATAAGTGCAATGACTGCTTCTTTGCACAAAATTTAAAAATTTTAAAGGCCCACCGAATCTGATGAGAAAACAACAATCTATACAAACCTCTTTCAAAAGATCTTTAGTTCTATCTAACACAATAAAGATATGGTACTATAAAATATAAAACATTTGAATAGTTGTCAACACACCTAATGCAATGTATGCAGACTGCGTGGAATTTAACACAACGATGTTTGTCGTCCTACCTAAGCGCAGATTGAAATAGCTATGTGATGTGCGTATGGTGCTCGTATACTGCCCGTAAATCCGGTTGCCTTCGGCGTCTCAGCGGATTTAGACGGTGGCCGTGCAAAATCGTACTGAATCGTACAGATTTACGACCTCCGTAGCTTCTGCAATTATGTCAAGATGAGACATGATTTTTTTATCGTATGCCCGTACAACGTAGCAATATCGTTATGGCATTGTACAATCCTCTCACTGGCATTGCACGGTGAACTTGCGGTTATCGTGCAACAACGAAAGTCGATGCGATCCTGCGACACGAAGTTGTCAAAATTGATAAGCCTAGATAACATTTGCCACGGGCGACACACAACAAAAGCGAAAATATTTTTCCGTATTTTTTTTATTTTGACAACGTAAGTAGCCACGGGCTCTGGCGAATGTCTGCATAACGTGCAGGTGCCGTGCCATGTCTCCAACAAAGCCTTGAGGTCACATCGGGGGAATAGGAGTATGTACGTCGAAAATACCAAATGTTTCTGAAGAAACAAGGGCGACGACAAAGAAACAGTGTATATTCAAGAGAGAGAGCGTATTGTTGAAGCCAGACTATTCACGCCTTTAAATTAGATTTTTAATGTCATTTATGATAAAGCAGTAAAGAGAACATGATGTTCAAGTCTGGTTATTCATGACTGAGACTGCATTCCCACAGATTTTTAGATCGATCTATCCCCCTGGGAGTCTCACTAGATTGGTGTCAGCTTAACCGGCTTAAATGTCTGTCCCGCCTACTAAAAGCTGTAAGGGGGTAATTAACTATATAGTGCGCGCTCGGCTGACAGCAATTTAGCGTGAAACCACAGGGAGTTAGGTCGATCCAGATGGATCGATCTAAATCTGTGGGAATGCAGTCTTAAATGACGTTTTTATGATACGTACTAAAGTGTATAAAGAGACATATTGTTTTATCAAGTCATTATGATGCGTAGACCAAGATGTCGGTTTGTGCAATATTATCATGAAACACGTTATGATGTATTATTATAGGGTGTGTTTATCTTCTACCAAGGCTACAGAATACAGTAAGTTTGCATGTCCCCTTCGCCATAGCAGAGATTGGTGTCATGTCAATTTTTTCTGAAGCAAGTGCTTGTGAGGCGTAAGAGTTCGAAGAAAGATATAACCAGTCATAGCAGTGGTGAGGACAGTGACCCTTGTGTCATGACTCAAACCATTAGTGACTACCGGTAGACCGTTATTACGTGACAGTCCCCCATGATAGAGAGTTCGCTTTTCCATTCATTTGTACAGGTAAGCCTCGCCCTAGACATTTGACCCACTTAGGTCAGGCTAACCCTAACCATTATAACTATATGGGCGGCGGACTTTCTGTTACATGGACCTTCAGTGTCTTTACGTCGTCTCTCCCAGGCTCTCCTCCAAGACATTGAAAAGTACGTAATGATTTGAGGAAAGATAATATCATTTAAAAATTGTTCAACGTAGCTGTTCGTGGTTTACGATGTTTGTAAGTTCACAATTTCTTACTGGTACGCCACATTCTGTTAATATGGCACTGAAACGCATGTTATGAAATATAAAGTAGCCATGAACCGTACATTTGAGACAACTGCATACGAACCTAAACGTAGATTACACCAGCTGACTAGGAACAATAGAACATCTAAATTAATATATCACGTAGTTAGGATATTTGATTCTATTATGTATAATTTTAGGAAATGTACCCATCCATGTACACGGATACACAAATAACTAATGCAGTGATTGAGAGGTAGAATTACATGCCCTTTAACGAAGTGAAAAGTTAAGGTAAGGTATACGAGTTGTGTCTTTATGCAGCAAATTCTAGTGGACATTTTACAGGGCCGAGTCCCCATTGTTTTGTATAGGTGAGCCTCGTCTTAGAGCCCATTCCCATAGCTAGATCGATCTAGCAGGATTGACCCATCTCCGAGGGGATTCTTGCTTAATTGCATTCAGATTAAAAGACATTGTTGTCTGACACGTCTACTGAAGCCACTAAAAGACAGTTAATTACCCCTTAACAGCTGCAGTAGGCGTGCCAGACCTGTAATTAGAGAGCTTTCGCACCTGCACGTTTAGGCGACCGACTACATTTAGCTATCCGTAACCGTAAAATGACCGACGTTTATTTTTTCGTGATTTCGCATAAAGACCCGGTTAGCCTTTACGGATAGTCGAATTGTACAGTAGGCTGATGCATGTTTCACATGCTGTAAAGCCTCGGTCACAACAGGACGCACAAATTTCAAAATCGTACGTCATCTGCGATTTTGGGGGTGTTGCGGAGGCCGTGGAGGTCGTAGAGGTACCCGGTAGAGAGAAGTCTGCCTTGCGGGTCGCAAGGGCCACATGAGATGTCCTTTCAAGCAGGGACGCTAATTGCAAGGTGCAATGGCCGTGGAAATTGTACTCATTTCTTGAGTTTGTCTTGCTACCTGCGTACGTGGCAGGCGCTCACCACTATTGAAGAGAAAGCAACGCACGGCGAAAGTAGTTCCATTTTGCTTCACACTTGCCTCACACGCTTGTGATGAAGTACTACACGCGTGCAACAGTTCTGCCTTCTGTTCTTCCCTTCTTTCTTCTTCTTTCTCCCCTCTTTTCTGCTCTCTAAGGTTTTTTTTTTTTTTTTTTTTTTTTTTTTTTTTGCCTGAATTAGGCAAAATTCGAAATTTTTAAAAAATTGTTGTACAGGTTGCACAATCGTCGTTAATTGTCGAGACACGAGCGTGTGGCGTGAGTACACCTTTTCTACTCCTGGCGTAGGGGTGACGCACATGCGACGCACTTCCGCGGAGCTTTCGACTCTGATCGTTAGTTGTGAGGGCGTGCGCCGTAATCAACACGCATTGCTTGCGACGTGCGTCTTGGACCACACACGTCCCACAGGCGAACTCCTTGCGAGCGAAGCAAGTTACGCTGGCGGCCTCGCTGTTCGCAGATTATTCGTAGAATCTTTTGAACATGTCCAACATCCGCCGTACGTGCATAGGGGCTGTCTGCGAGCCCCAAATTTCGCAAGAGGGACTTGCGTTGCACGTGAGATTCTGCGCAAAATTTGGACTTAAACAGGCCGTAAAAGCCCGTGCAGCCTGTTGTGACCGAGGCTTAATGGAGATCTGGCTTACTCCGTTAAAAGGTATTTGTTGAGTCCCTTCAGAGGAGCAACTTTGAGTGCCGAAGAAGGAGAATTCAACAGGAGAATGTCCTCTGTGCAAGAATGCGTCGAGTGGGAGTTCGGAAACTTATTGTGAAACTTTGCCTTTATGGACTTTCTAAAGAATTAAAAAGTTCTGTTGTCTCCTGTAGCCAAGCACTACTTGGTAGGTGGTCTTCTGGTCAACTGCCATACCTGTGTGTATGGTAATCAAATGAGTCGGTACTTTTAACTAGATCCTCCCACCTTAGAGCACTATTTAGCATGAACTCTACACGTGTACATTGTGCGTATGGAAAATTTAAGAGTAAAATAATTCATTCCGCAAGCAATCATTTATTTAAATGAAATCTTAAATAAAAAACTAATGTTTAACAAAGATTCAGCCCATGTGTATCTTGTAGGCAGCTTAGTATGTCAATTCAGTTTTTCTTTTTAACCAAAGACATAACCATCTCCATCATTTGTTTGTCTTTCTCAATTTGATCTTCTCGCTCTTTCTTTTCTAATTCAAAGCGTTCTTTCTCGAAGGCCAACTTGTCTTTCAGGGAACTAACGTAATCTGCTGGTGAATCAGTACTGTGCTTCTTAGTTGGCGGCATGTTGTCGCAATTTTCAGCTGAAAAAATAAGCGTGTCACCAATTAATGCAGCGTCAGTTTTTGTTACTGATATAATAAATATTAATCAATATTTGCTATTAGAGACAATTTCATGTAAAGAAAGATGTGCTGTCCTTACTTTTATTTATAATTCATTTATTCAAATACACAAAACAAGACGCCATGTGACTTTCGAAACAAGGCTTCATAACATTTGCATTAAAAGTCAAGGAGACATGTCCTGTCAACTAAAGGAGAAAATCGAGCTACTGGTAGTATCTTACTAAACGGCACTTACCTTACGGATATCCTGCTTGTTATGCGTCAAGTGCAGACGGCTAGTCTACAGACCACTTATAAAGGCATGTGTACTCGTAACAACTGCTCACAAAATGATGACCTAACAGTCTTATAATACAATCCGTCACGCGTGCGGAAGGCCAGTTCTGACTGCCTTGTGGTCAGTGGAAAATGCCTTTTTTACGGGTATAACCTATATTTCAATAGTAACAAAAAACACAGACACAAATAACAGACACAGCATGTTTCACATACTTTGCAAAAATAAAATGTCCAATATGATTTTAGCAGAGAAACTATCAATTTTGAAAGGCTTGATTTCATAAAATTATGCTGATTTGTCAAACCGTTTTTCATTGACGGGTAGCAATATAGCTGCGGATAATGTTCTCTCTAACCGTATGTGTACACGTCACTAGACAGCAAAATATGATGACCTAAACGTAGTCGTTCGCCTAAACGTACAGGTGCGAAAGCTCTCTATTAAGCGATAAACCCCTCGAAGATGAGTCGATCCTGCTAGAACAGTTTGGGTGGGTGAAGGGGTAGTTAACTATCGTCTGCCGATTAAGTAGATTCCACTGATTGCACTCTAGTGGAGATCTCTCGGAGAGTTGGAGCGACCAAGTTCAGGACCGTAGCCAGGGTAGGTTCGAAAAAAAAAAACAAACTTTTTTTGCCGGGAAAAGGTCTCCACGGAATATATTGAACATTTAATGCATTGATATTGATAGGGTCTCAAAGCTGTTACTTAACTTCAGTCTGGAACACAGTGTAAGCTTATAAAGCTTATAAGCTTGTAAAGCTTTTATTAAAATATAAAAGAGACAGTATAAATTGCACGTTATGCAACTCTCTGGAGCTTTGCCTCTGCAGGACAATGGGTGCATAACACGAATGATTTCAAGGACAACCGCAAGTATTGTCAACTGCCAAATTACGTAAAACTCATGTGTTGCGTTTGTGTAACAAGTTCTGCGTGACGCAGAGACACACATATACTAGATATGCGCACACGAAGAAGGGCGGCTTAATTTACACTAAAGACTCATGATTACCGTTGTCCACTTTTGGGGTCTTACTTTGTCAGTTGATGCTGGTAATTTTTCTAAGGCAAGTGGTTTGGATGTGGAGTAGTTTCCTTGTGTGGCGCTGGTAGAGTGTCCACGATTCAGGGTCATAGCACTGGTAAGAACGTCACCATTTACATTATTGATTGGAGTACCTGTCTTTATTCTATTATTATTATTGTTATTCTTTTTTGTTATCTAAGGCGCTATTGAGAATAGATGATCCAAGTACTTACTGATCCGCCAACTAAATATGGCCGACCACAGTTCAGAAGCAACGCGGCTGATTCCTGATGGTCTCCCTGCCTTCAAACGCGCCTTTAAACGGATTAAATCTCTGCTCCGAGGTTTAATTGCTAGGCCCCTCCAGCGACGGCAAATGAGGAGGCGGAGAGACCATCAGGGATAAGCGGCATCCCTTCTGAACCGTGGTCGGCCATATTTAGTCGGGGGATCAGTAAGCACTCTGATCATCCATTCTGAATGGGGCCTAAGGTGTTAAGGAGGCTCACTCATATTTCAGAAATACCATTTCCGCCCTAACGAGTTGACAAAAATTGAAAGACAAAATCTACTCTAAATATATGAATAAAAATTTGAAAGTGATCCAGTTCTTTTTCGAGAGGTAGCGTCCCGAAAATTAAGGTTTTTGTAAACAAGTTGTAAGTGGGTACGTTTCGTCGTAAAAGTCTAAGCTTCACCGAGCGTTCTTCGCAACCCTTCGATCAAAACATGGAACTTAAACAACGAAGCTTTCATCAGAATTCAAAGGTGAATATTTTTTGGATGTTGTATTTAGATATCTGGCCATTAAATGCTGTCATAAAAAAATACTCGAGGTAATTTGAGAGACCCTCTTTAAAATATGATAGATGATTAGTTGGCGTGACTAGGCCGTCCAGTGAATAGACCCTCTTTATAAGTCAATTCGATGTATGGATGCACTGCTCTGAGGACTAAACGCTTATTTCAGACTAATGAGGTTAAGCTTTTTTTTGCTTTACGACGTTTGTTAAAGGGATAATAACTCTTCGTATGATATTTATATTTCACAATAAAAACACTGTGAACAACTCACAGAAATATAATATATTCTGTTTTACCTCAAAAACGGCAGTTATAGCTATTATTCTGATATCTGAGCTTGTCTTCAGATTGATGGCTGTACTCAGTTATAATCTCTTAAGAGATTTTAACAAAAAAAAAAAAAAAAAAAAAAAAAAAAAAAACAGGGACTAGCTTTGAATGTAAAAATGGATTTATTAACCATTGGTAAGTATGGGAAAATTGTTGTTTACTCCAGGAAAATTCATTTTTTGGCCAAAACGAAGATTTATTATCCCTTTAATTCAGTGAATTCAGGATTTATACACACTTTGTGCATGGTTAAAAAGCACTGAGATGCAGTTTTGAAATATAAGGCATAATTGAATCGTACACTTTGGCACTTTCCATGAGACCACGAAACAAAACACGTAGATTACGCACATGTGGATAACGTACACGAGGGTACAAATAATTAAATTAATGGCTCACGCACTAGTTTGAATAGCTGGCCCTATTGTGTATAAGTAGCATAATCATCCACATCCATGTTCCTGAATACATACATAAATATACATACTTACAAGGAGGAATGATAACTACTGTGGTTTTAGATCTGATATGTGCTGTGTATAAATAACCTGCAGCACACTGTATAGTGTATAAGTGCTGTCGTTTACAAGGAGGGAGAGGCAACTTCGGACATCAAAATGAATGGTTTAGAACAGGACGGAGAACGATGGTTGACGTCGGAGGAAATAGCGGACATATGGCCGAAAATCCGATTGAATGCCGTGAAGGAATTCATCCGGGTTTACCACGAGGATAAGGGTGCGGAGAAGAGAGAGCTCCTTTGGGGGGACGAGGTGAGTAGTCCTGAATGAGAGCAAAGGGTTTTGTCGAAGACGGGGTGGGGTGGGGGGTGGGGGTTTACCGAAGTATTTCGAGGGATATGTAAAGGACATGGAACTTCAAAATGGGAAGTAGCCATTGCTGAGAAAACGCATATTCATTCGTTTTTAATGCAAACCTCAGCTAGGAAAACTGACCTGTGTCCAAATGGTTTCGGGTTGAAGCTATACATAAGGTGGTTCACCCCCGTAGACAGGGCTGGGAGTTTTGGAGCTCAACAGAAGAAACACTTTCGGTCCAAAAAAGCCCACTCAATGTTTTTTAGTCTAGTGTTTTAAAGTTTGGTCAATTAAAAGGGTATAACGGTCTGCTTTTTTTTTTTCAGAAGCAAAAACATATTTCAGTTTTCAATTTCCCGTTTGACGAAAGCGGCCTGTCATTACAATTACTACAATTTCCTTTTCCTGACATGGGGAAACATTATTCTGATATATATACCATTTACGAAATCAAGCATCTATGAAAATTGCTTCACCTTTAACACGGAAAAGTCATCAAATGCGGCCACTATATGATAAAGAGCAAATTAAAAGACTCCGTAAAAAACGTATTACACCTTCTAATTTATAATATTTTTTCAGACTGGGGAACTAAATAAACCGTCAGTTTTTGATAGATGTTGTACATATCTGCAATTATAACTCATTTAATTATTCAAAATGCTGTAACAATGCAAGACAGATAATGTTCATTCGCATTAAAGTGCTCCCTGCTAGTACTGGTAACCTGCAATTTCAATTGGTATGTAGAAAAATAAATAAATAAGAAATAATAATAATAATACGATTATTTGCAATTATTGACTGCAGTTTTCTTTATTCTGTTCATTTCATTTAAGACTGAATATATCCTGGTGCATTTTGACCATGAAAAGAAAACTGCAAAGGTTTTGCTAGAATCCGAAGAGCTGTTGGAAAAATTAAAGACTTTAGATTCCAACAAGTAAGTGAGCAAAGTTTCATCGTAATGATTTATATACTAATAGTAACGGTTGCAGTTTTGGGAGGGAAACCGCTTTGGTTCTTTTTCTTGGTCATTGTGTCATAACAGTGACCTAGAAAGAAATCTTGGCCACTGGTATTAGGAGGAGCCAAGATATTAGTGAATAACAGCGATAAGAGTCAGTATAAATAAACACCATTAAATATTTAGTCTTTATCATTATGGCATGTAATGCAGGCGAATCTTAAATTATTGTATAAATAGTTGATACTATCTATCTATTCATAAATGTATCAATTAATGCATTAATTAATCATTTTGCATATTAATTAATTAATTTATCTATCTATTTATTTATTTATTTATTTATTTATTTATTTATTATTCAGTCTCTGTCCTACCATGTGGCAAAGGGAATGTGCCCGTTTCATGGTTGAGTCAAAACCTGCTGTACCCTTTTCAGGAGACGTAGAGTCCATACTTTCTGTTGAAGCAAGTATGACACAAAGGTATGGAAATACAGACAAATGAAATATTAATAAAACTTTAAAAGCAAACATCTGACGTTGCATTGTATTCTGCATATATAATGCACTTCTCCATGTTGGGAATATACTAATGTTGCGTTTACCCCATCAGTGTGATTTACTTTTCATTTTGACAACCCATTCCTCTATTCAGATTTCTCATATATAAGATGTAGAAATGTGCAATATATACGAACCCTGAAGCTACCGGTAATTACCATAGTTTTTACCTAGAAATTTTGAACTGAATATTTCGTATCAAATGACAAACCTTTGATGTATTATATATGCACTTATTAATTTGATATGTTTTTCATTTAGGAGGCAGTTGATTTTCACTTCAATGGGCAGTCTGGACAAAGCGGTCTTGACAATGGGAGCCTATCCAAGGTATAAAGTGACCTGTTGTTGTTATGCTTTTTATTAGGTACTTGTTTATATTGAATTAATAATGTGATTGATTTGATTATTAAACAATATGAAAATCCCCACAATACGTGTATTCAGTAAATTGCTAGACTCTTCCAACTTGATATAGTTCTATCTGTATTTAGCCTTTGTACAGGTACATCCGGGTACTTCACAAAATATACAGTCCTACTATTTTATAAAAAATTCTAATCGTCCTGTAAAAGTTTCATATTTTGCCTTCATTTCTGCAAGTTACACCTGCTTATCAAATTCAACATCACATTTATAGAGTTTTGTTGTAGGATTTTGCAGATTTCAAGGTATTTAATAAATCCACACGATAAACATGTTTTGTTTAGAACCGGTACTCCATGTTTTACTCGACCTGCGCACGCGCCAAACCCCACTTCCGGCGTAAGGCGCTCTCTGTTTATCCCCGATGAAGTCATTGCTGGGGCACGGTATAAGTAAGAGAACTTATTCTTTTCATATTAATTTGTTTATTTATTTATTTATATTTCTTCATGTTGTTTAACAAAAAGTATAAATAAGGTAAACGCAGAGAATAATTTGCTTTTTTCATTTGAAATTCATGGAACTGAGCGCTGGAGTCAGTTTCAACCAATAACTTTCTCTTGAAAATTGTTAGTGTAATTATTTTAGACAAAGTATAAAGTCTACTTAAATTCATAGTAACTTGTTAAACTATAATTTTAACATTGGTCTAATACATAAGACATCATCGTCTTTTACATGTACACTTGTAGCCTGTGCTGGTACAATGGACACAATTATTTAAGCTAATTGAGTTACCATGCAGATTTAGTTTGGGAATGGCAAATTGAAAATTGAGATCAAGAATTATTCAAAATTATGTAGATATTTGTTTAACATTAATTCATGGCATTGTATTTTCCAGAGCTATAACACTAAACGCCAAGTTAAATATGAAAGGGAGACGCACAGAACACATACCGAGTACGTAACTTGACTAGCATAATTCTTTTAAAAGTGTCATGTTAGAATGCTAAGTTGTGGTGGCATTATGGAAATGTTGTAAAACGTATGCATTAGCGGTGTTATACCACACCATACCGTTTGCATTCATATACGGTTGAGCTAAAAAAAAAAAAAAAAGCTTCAGCATATGTAATCTGTTTGTTACCTTTTGTTACCAAAAATAACTCACTTGTTAAAAATCGATTATTATAGGGTATTAGAGCTGACACCTTTAATACAATTGAAAGCATTTTCCTGGTTATGTCAACACTTTTCTCTTAATCATCAAGGACTTAATCATCAAGTTTTTCGAGTCACTCTATTAATGAGAATAGAGACTGGTGATTTTATTTTGTAATGATAAAAATAGGATTGCAAAACTCAAAAATGGGATTGTCGGTAGGCTCAAACCATTTCGGAAAGGGAAACATGTACCTGTGAGGGAAATGGACATTGTGAAATTACCGAATGATTTTTATTCTAGAGAAAGGTCCTGCCTTCAAACATCTAGCCCATAAATTATAAGATAATTAAAAATAATGATATATAGAGACAAGTATAAATATATATATTTATTTCCCTTTTCTTTCTTTAGAAGTAGCATACACAGTCAAACATGTTAACATGTAACATTATAAACTAAATGAACCATTACTGTTATAATTATTTTAGAATAACTTGTTTGGATGTATTGTGCATTGTATAGGTTTTTAGCAGCTGTCCTCACCACTTACCTAATACCAGCTGACCACCGGACGCGCTAGGAGTCTGTTACGAAATTATTGAATCTCTGATACATTAATTGTGTATATATTAAGCAAACCCTGATATCAGGGAATGGCACTTACCTCAGTCTGCGCCTCTGCACGTATATTATGGCGTACATAAGTTGTAAACTAAACACGTTTTGTTTCTCCTCAGTATTCAAAGACGCCCACACTTTGGATCCCTTTGAAGAAGACCTCTCACAGTTCGGCGACAAAGGCAAAAATAAGGAAGATGCATGCACGGCCAGTAAAATGTGTCTGGACTTTGGCTTTTGTGGAACTTGCTGCGCCCTGCAAGTGACACAGCAAGCATCAGATTTATACGAAGCCAGGACTATACACGATCAACTAACTCCTCTTTGTCCGATTCTCGTAAGCTTATTTATAATAATAATAATAATAATAATAATAATAATGACAAGTAACAAAGTAATACAAAGCTAAGGGGTAATTATAAAACTAATAATACTAAGATGAACATGTTAATGGAAACTTAGTGAGGCTTAATCAAGTTTCCAAATATGGTTAAAGAAAGGGGAATAAATCTGTATTTCATTCGTCTAAACTCTGGGGAAAACTATGGCATTTGAGCGATTATGTCGTCAGGGGATTCATTTATATGATTTGCTCGATAGATGGCGTTGAGTGCAGCTACCCCCATTCACAGAGGTTACCTGTCAAACATTGATTGTCGCTGGCCGTTATTTGTTCAATACACTGACGAAGAAACACAAGATAATATGTGGCAGGTATAAAAAATCATCAAAAGTTTGTCATACCTTTTTCTTTCCGTTTTTCTTGCTTGAATCTTCTGTCATTAACCATCCAACATAACATTCTACAGTGCGATTATGCGTCGTTTTAAAAAAATACTATAAAATTTATAAAATTTTAAACAATAACATTGAATTCAATTTCTCGTTTAAAAGAAGTGTCCTTGATGATTCGACCCATAAAGTTACTTTTGATTTTATTAGTGCGGTCTAATGCTTTAGCAGCCTAAGGTAAACATGATTCCTTTTACAGAAAAGAAGTCCCAGTAGTCCTAGGACCACCAAATCTCGTATGGACTCTGTGAGTTGCTATGCACAGCCTTGTAACTCGTGCTATAACGACGGCCCTACGTACATGGACAATGGGATATTTGAAACACTTCTGAATCACGGTATAATAATAATAATAATAATAATAATAATAATTATTATTATTATTATTATTTTATTATTATTATTATTATTATTATTATAAAGACAAATTCCATGTTTACCATTGTTATCATCATCAAATCATACTAGTATGTAGTTTTCAAGCACAAACCGCTATAATCAAACATTCATGAGATTTGCATGCGCAGTCATAATAGAAACTCACCTTTCCTTTCAAGAGATGCAGCTACAAACCATACCGCCAACTTCAAATCGGACGATTTATCATTATTTAACTTTTGTTTAACGCTAAGAATTTTGTGAACACAAAATTGATATACTGCGTTTATATATAGAAAGAAAAAGATAAATTACATTAAATTTTATGACATATACTACGTTTACCTATTATCTTTTACACACGCCTGGTTTAAACCTGCTTTAACAAATAACGTAGTATATCTTTCTTTTTCTTTAATCTCCAGGGGTAGACGAGGCAATGTCCCGTTACGTCACCAACCTGTTCTCGCGAGATCCTTGGGCATTATCTGACCGCCAAGTACATCAGTGTGGAGAGGAATGGTTGGACCCTATCGACCTGTATACGGTTTGTTTTAATTCCGTGGCATTTCAATGATACTATAGTGTGATGCCCCAGGAGCAAGCCTACTGCGATTTTGTTTCAATAGGCATCACCTGCTTAATGTTGTATGTTAAAATAAATAAATAAATAAATAAATAAATAAATAAATAAATAAATAAATAAATAAATAGATAGATAAAATAAAAAATAAGAATAAATAAATTAAAAACAATAAAAAAATAAAAAGATAATACACATGTTGGGGATTAACTTTAACACGCTAATGCTGTATTGGCAATGTTATGTCAGAAAGAATTACTATTAATTGACGAATAAAACTAGGATAATTCGTATTACTGTCCAAAAGATTGCAATTCTACTGAACTAATAAGAAAGCAACCAAAGAAATAGCCGTGGGTAATTTTTGTCAGCTTTTTTACATAGCCGAATAGTATTCTCTCGTCGGTCAGTGTTTTGAACCCACTCTCTTCCAAATCTCGCAAAACTCGCCTTAATTTTATGCTACGTGAAAAGAGTGTATCCTACATGTATCTGGTACGGTTTTCGTTTGCCAAACATTTTATTTAATTCCACAAACATTGTTTGATATCTGATTAAATATTAATTTAAAGACCATTAATATGAAAAAAAGTATAAATACTGTGAGAAGCAATTACCACTAGGAATATAAGTTGAACGGTACGGGTATAAAGTAGTGTACAGGTTAATTCCAAGTTATCTCTGAAGCTCAGGGTGACCAGATATTCTAATTTCATATGACATTTTGTCACCTTTTGTCCAATCCATTATTTCTAGATATATTACTTTCAGGTCGTGCAAGCAAATAATTACCCATCAGTTCGATTGAAAGTTCCGTCGCAGTCTAACGGCTGGTGCGTGGAGTTCAGGCCATTAGATGTACGGTATTTATAGTAGATACTGTAGATGTGTTTGTGTGCACGAGTGCATGTATCTTTGTAATCATGTGTATGATATGTATGTAAGTGTGCGTGCATGTGTGTGTGTGTGTGAGTGTATGTGTGCGTGTACTAAGTATCCAGTCCACCTATTATTGGTAGCAATCAAGTAAACGCTAAGCTTGGTTAAATATAATATATTTCATAATAGGATATAAGGATATAAGGATTAAATAGCCAGTAATCAAACGTGAAAATAGATAAAGTAAAACACCGTTTTGTATGCACAGGGGGAATATTTTGTACAGTACCGGGATTTCCAACAAGGCAGCAGTCTCAGTAACCTATAGTAGGCAACTGAAAGACAAACCATATTTGACAATCGATCAGTGTTTGTTCGAGAGAAAATAAAGGTGTAAGGAACAAAGTCTACATTTCTAACACAAAATCCAGGCCTACCCAACTACCAGAATCAGCACCGAATGATCCCGAATTCACCGGTAGATCGGACCACACTACCCGTTTTCAAGGTGTGAGTCAGTACGCAATTCACAGTATCATACCCCGAACAAATTTTGAGTGGTGATGCAATACTTTTCAACCCCGCTGAGAATCGTCACTATCACATCGCGTACTAGGCAAGAGTGGGTAGTGTGATCCGATATACCGGTGAATTCAGAATCCGAGTCTGGTAGTTGGGTAGGCCTGAAATCAGAGCGCAGACCTCCGCTAAGAACTTCACACTGATAAACTGTGGTAGTTGAGATTACATTGCACAACAAACAATTAACACCTTCCATAAATAACTGAAAATCAACAATTGTATAATATGACGATATCTTGTTCTCCAGGTACAGCTGACGGATTTTGAAAACGCTTCATTTTCAGTTTTTGTAGTTTTGCTGACGCGGGCTATTCTGAAATACGGCCTTGATCTTGTACTGCCAATCTCAAAGGTAATTATGCTCTGTGGCATAATATATGCATTACCGTATGAAGCAAAATGAAATTTACTTGTACAATGGTGAAAGTTCCCCTTATAAAGAAACAGATTAAAAAGGTATCCGATACCTCAAAACACAGTTTATTAGCTATAAATCCGTATTTGAATAATGCATTTCTAACTTTAATGTCACGATTGACGTTCAACCTCCTCGAACTCCGTTCCGGTCTGTTTGAAATTATATATCAATAGTGCCGATAGTTTTAAGTGTGCATATGATCGTATACACTATCATTTTGTAGGTTGACAAAAACATGGAAACAGCTTCAAAGAGAGACGCAGTGAGATCAAGCAAATTTTACTTCAGAGACGATATATTTGACAATAAAGGTAAAAATTCTGTCAGAGAAAAAAAAAGTAAAAGAAATATATTATGCAGGTATTTTGCGCGTTGTTTCTAAGAGGCACGGTTCTGATTCAGTTATGTTTAATTGAAAAATACATTTTTCTCTTTCTATTTTTAATGTGATTATTTATTTCAGGGTTGCGACATGTAAGTGCCCAAAATGGCTTTCGTCAGATCAGTGGTATGGAAACTAACTGGGCAAAGTTTTCTTTGATGACAGCCGATGAAATAGTTAATGGAAAGGTACAACTTTAATTTTGCATATAAATATTTATTTCTATAACTATATATAATTATCTCTCTTTCTCTCTCCCCCTCATACATGCAAACACACATCAACTCTTATTTTTACATCAGTTGAAAAAAAAATAATACAAAAAATTCTCATCACAATTATATATAATATACATAAATTATATAGAGAGGAAAACGTCAAGTTACTCTAGGTAAAGAAACCATTGTTTGAGGGCAAATCTCTTATAATTCAAAATGATGTTCGTCTGTCAAGAAAACATTTCACTTTTCCATTTCAGCACAACGGTTTCCCTGGATTAATCCCATTGGTTAACAGATTCTTGGACGATCTCGACACAATTGACGTCAAGACCAGATTGACTGCTGATCGGTACCTGGACTTCATAGGAAAAAGAGCGTCCGGTAATTATCAAAATCAATAAACATTGTAATATAAGCGTGAGTGTTTACGTTTGATGAGCATTGGAGTGGAATTCTAAATAACCCTTTTATGCATATCACATCTACAATATAGTAGTATTTTGGTGGCATATACTTTATATTACATATAAGCAACTTATATTTAATGTTTATATACAAATACCTTTTTATATTGTCAATATCATATCAGTATTCACTACACGATTATTCCAGCAACCACGTTTTATTTCAGGTGAAACGCCAACGACCGCTAGGTGGATGCGAGAATTTGTGATGTCACATCCAGCTTATAAGCAAGATTCCGAAGTCAGTGAGCGCATCAATTATGACTTGATGTGTCGTTGCAATGAGTTATCCAACACGAAGCCAGAAAATTGGTTTTGGGAACAACATATTTTAACAAATTGACATATGGCCATTTGACATGTGCATCTGAAATAGAATCGAAGGCGTTTTTTAGAAATGCTCTATAAGGATTGACACCAAAGCAGTGCCGCCTTCTCTATGGGACTGTTGATACAAGATGATATATATATATATATATATATATATATATATATATATATATATATATATATATATATATTACACTAGTCTGGTCTCCTCACATGAGCTGTATAAATATATAACGCCAGTTTTGTCACATTATTTGTTCACTGCACCAGTCCTGTCTTTTCAATCATGTTTTAGTATATGGCACTTGTACTGCTTCCTCATTCTCATGATATACGTGCCACACTAACTACCTCTCCTATGTAGTCTTGATAAAATGTCATGACATATTTCTTTGCCCTGAGTGTGAGAGTCACTGTGAACCGGGCTTCAACAGTGAGCTCTGAAGAACAGCGACAGTGTACGATTTCCGTCAATCAGAAAGAACTCCGCAGTGAATCTGCAGTTGAATGACATAACAGCAAAATGAAACGTAAAACAGATTTAATTCTGCTTCTTTATAATTTTATTTACTATTTTTAAGATGTTAAGGGAAAAATAAATAATGTTTCTAAAAGAAAAAGACAGAGGGACACAGTAGTGACGTACTAGCCTTGTGACCTCCAAATATGGAAGCGCCCCATTCAAATTTTTGTAGAAGAACGCCCAAGGTGTCGGTGTTCGCCAGAGTCTGGTATTGCTGATATGGCGGCCGGGTAATATATGAAAACAAGATCGAGCTGGCAATACCGGAATCTAGAACCTAGGGTATATTTCTTAGATTTTCAGTACAAATATTTTTCATGTGAAAAACACTGCTGTTTTTATTTATCGATTGTTCAATAAAACTGACATGTAGCTGCACTCAGTCAATAAGTCTCAAAATGATTGATTTAGCTTAAAGATGTATTGCCATAATCAACCGTGAAACTGAAAGAAAAGAAAAAACAAAATAAGAAAAGTAACAAAAACGTAGGGTAAAATGTAGAAATACTGAAAACAAATTTAAATACAAGAAAAAAGTAACTTAAAAATATTACTAAAAATTACACGAAATACATACGAAAGTGTAAGAAAAGGATATAGACAGAAACATACGTTGCAAAGACCCTAAACCGAAGACGTTTATGTTAGCGCTGAAATAGTTTACTTTGTCCTTCGACTAAGAGAGCTAATATCGATTCCTCTATCCCGTTCAGTCTTTGTAAGTAAAGTGAAAAAGAAGTAAGGGATAGGAACCCGGCATTCCAAGAACTAGGTGTGATATATATACTGAGAAATGAGAACTGTTCAGTGCAAGGTTTGGTATAGACACGTGACGGTACGGTTAGGTGAGTGCGGTGGTCTGTTACGTTATAATTAGAAGAGAGAGAAAGAGAGAGAGAGAGAGAGAGAGAGAGAGAGAAGACAGAGATGATGTGGGGATTGATAAGTTGGGAAGTGACTGGCTATTAAAATATGGCAAACAAAAAAGAACTACCATTATCTTTCTTTCTCCCACCAATGTCTCTTGAAGGCTCTCTGTATAACTTTCGACTCTGACATTTGCCTCAAACCACCCAAAGCTGGCAGAAAATAGAAAGTTGATGGCGATTCAAGAATGGTTGTAACAACCAAGTCTCCTTTCGTGTCAGTAGGTCTTTTAGTCTCTCCCACTTTACTGCCACCGTCACCACCTTCACCATCTGGTGCAAGCCATTCCAAGAAATAGGTGTTATGTAACATTCCTGCCCGGTGAACATAACCGTGATAGGGCATCTAAACTAAACATTAATCTAAACAATAGGTGTCTACAATGTTTTTTTTTATGAGAAGGACAAAGTAAGTACAAGTTACAACTACACGTCGTCCACTATATGCGACATGCGTTAATAGGGAGGTTTCGAACGCTATCCCGGCAAGAGAACCAGCGCGCCGATAATTTGAAGAAATTGCGTAGAACGTCATCCCTTTTTGCGCTTGTTTTCGCGTTCTCGTTGACGGATTCCGAGAACCAGGCGCTGGATGCCGGAGCGCTGATCGGGAACGAGAACGGGCTAGTTCTCGGGCCGGGATAGCGAAACCTACCTATTACATCGAGGCTAGCCTAGATATAATTTGCTCTTTTGTGTCGCATACAGTGGACGAACAGAAGTTGTAACAGACTTATACCACGGCTGGCGCTTCGACCAATAGAATAACCTCACTGAAGCGTATGAAAAAACGCGCAAGCCTGTGTGCGAAATACAAGTGCAATTATCCTATTGTTCGAAGCGCCAGCCGTGGTATAATTTTATTTACCAGAGGGAGACAGAAACACATCTAAGTGATAGATACAATACGAGTTGCCGAGCTGTACGTGAAATATTACGAGTGTATTGGCGAGCCGCAGGCGAGACAATACACGAGTAATTTTCACGTACAGCTCGGCGACGAGTGTTGTATCTGGCTTAAACCACGGCCTCTGATTGGCTACTACACTAGTAGTGTAACAGACCGTGGAACGCACTCGTACATGACGTGCTTGTATGTCGAATACAGCACGGCCGAGTCTTTTGTTCTACGCGCTAGCCGTGGTTTAAATGCGGCGTAAAGTAAAGCTGACCTTCAGCCCGTGTTATTGTTCACGTGTTTATTAATGTATTTACTTTTTTGATGCACTATTCCAAGCTGTCCTCTTCACTTAATAGATATACGTCACGCAGGGTCATTTACGGTCGCTCTACGGTCGGTGTTTAGACGGTGAGGCCCTTATGTAGTAAAGTCAATGAAGTTTTGACACGGATTGCTGCGCCATCTTTTGATGAAAGTGCAAGGAATATTCGGTATGCAAAATCCTGATTCCAATACCGTACAGAACTCTTCACGGCATTGCAATCCTTCAAGTTTTTTTTTCTTTGACACTTAGAACAGGCTAAAGAATCGTAATTCTGTAAACGGTTTTGGATATGGCATACATTTGAGGTCAAAAAGATTATATGGGATTCTCATGAAAATTAAGATTTGGGGCATAGGCTCTTTCATTGTGTGTTTTAAAATTACATCACACTGCATAAAATAGGGTGAACAGTGAACAGGCAACTTCAGACATCAAAATGAATGGCTTAGAACAGAACGGAGAACGATGGTTGACATCCGATGAAATAGCGGGCATATGGCCACAAATCCGATTGAACGCTGTAAGGGAATTTATAGGGTTATATCACAAGGAAAAGGATGCAAGAAAGAGGGGTCTCCTATGGGGAGACGAGGTGAGTTTCTCTCAATGGTCGCATTTACAACACATGATCTGAGGACTAACTGATCAGCGGACTAAATTGTGAACGACGCCAATTGACCCCTGTTGAAAATGTTCACTCAGCCCACATCACGGGCCGGGCCTGCTGAGGCCTAGCAATTAAATGGATTAAATCTTGGCTTCGAAGTTTAATTGCCTGGTCCCTGTAGTGTGGTATTAGTTGATTAGGCGGCATCGCTTTCAAGTGGAGTCGGCCAAATTTGATCCACGGACCAGTAAGTCTGGGGATGGTCTGTTCTGAATGTTGCCAAGGAGTTGCACGTAAGGGGATGGGTCATTTAAACATTTCGAGCGACGTGATTTATGCTAATTTATGTATTGCTAGTAAAGAATAAGATATATTGATGTGTCACTATTATTATATTTAGCAGTAGCAGTAAACGTAGTAGAGGTAGTACCTTATAATAGTATTAGTATTATCAGTGGTAGTTATCGCATTTCATCCATTTATTCCCTTTATAATTTTAGATTGAGTATATCCTGGTATACCTTGACCACGAGAACAAATCTGTTAAAGTTTCGCTAGAATCCGAAGAGCTATTGGAGAAATTAAAGAGATTAGATTTCAACAAGTAAATAAGCGTTGATGTTGTTTGACCTTGTCTATCTTGATTAACGCATTCTCAGAACTTTACATTGGATGCTTTTTAATATACTATTTCATACTCCCTATCATATTCTTACTGAAGAGAACAGCTTGTGTCATTCTGATTCGCCATTATAGCCATAATCACGGCATAGATAAAACCCTAGGCCAATGATATCAGCAAGAACTTAAAAATAAGTACAATGCACGTCAGCTAATTGCAAACCATTGAGAAATATATGATGCAGATGTAAATATTGTATATTTTATTTTCTTATTCAGTGTTTGTCCTGCCATGTGGCAAAGGGAGTACGCCCGTTACATGGTTGAATCGGTGCCTTTCGTGCCCTTTTCAGGAGGTATAGAGTCCATACGTTCTGTAGAAGCAAGTATGGCAAATAGGTATGTAATTAAGAAACAAATAAAATAATAAATAAATATATAGTTTTTTTTACATCCATTTACGCTCAGCATGTATTGTGCACGTGGGTTTGAAAGGGACTTAAAATGTAAAGGTTAACCCCCGCCACAGGCTCTGATGCCTACTTCAATGTTTACATATTAGCACAGCACGTGTGTCTGCATGATGTCAAAAAAGAATAACGTGAAATTTTCAGAGGGCAAACAAGCATATTTTTAATAAAGTAATAAATCTCGTGCTCTAAATTAGGTCAATGCATATTCAATAACCAAAGGTTATTGGGATCATTATTTTGGACCAGAACTTTTTCACCCACTGCTGGCATTTTCAGTGGAATGTTTATTACATGAACTGTGGTGTACTTACCAAATGTAATATATACTACATTTAGGAGGCAGTTGATTTCGATTGCAATGGGCTGTACAGACAAAGCTGTTCTTACTATGGGAGCCTATCCAAGGTGACTTGTTTTTGGCGTGATTTTATTAACATTTTTTGTTTTCTTGAAGTAATTATCTGATCGACAAAACAGCAGATTAAAAGTCAATTCCTCCTGTAAAATGCTTCATCTTTCGCCACCATATCTGAAAATTTAATATGATTGTCAAATAAATTATTGTTTATAAAAAAAATTATATTCTATGTTTTGTGGACAATATGATATCTGAGCAGTGCAGACCGTACGGTTAACTCGCTCAAACTGTTAACTTCACTCTTTTAGAACCGGAACCCCTTGTTTCACCCAACCAGCGCACGCACCAATCCCCACTTCCGGTGTTGCTCGTCCTCTGTTTTCTCCAGATGAGATATTTTCTGGGGAACGGTACCGGTAGGATAACACAAACATTGGCTATTTTATTAAGATTTATCGTTGTTTCGCATGTTTTATAAGGTTTACAAATGATGGAATAGGATAATTTTGATAGAACCTAAGGTGCCGTAAAGAATGAGTTATATTGAACTAGGTTGCACGCTAAATCCTTGGGGACTCTTGCTGAATGCAATCAGATTAGCAGACTGACACGCCTCCTTTACTTTCCAACGTACTCGTATAATCGTAAATATTTCCACAATCTTCTCAACGCCAAGATTAAGCGTGTTAATCTTTTATATTAATCTGATTGCCGAGAGTTCCCATGGAACATTAGTGAACATTACTAGAAGTTGCATGTAGGTCAACATACCTCATTCTGCACGGCCCCTTACAATATTTGAAACAGGTCAATGGAGGAGGTTTGACATTGACTTTATATAGAAAATTGAATCAAATATTTCAGACCAAGTATTTTTAAAGTCTACTTCAGCTAAAATGAAATCTATAGTAGCCTATACATGTTAAGTGTTTGTTTTTCACATATGTCCTAATTTAACTAGTTTACTGAACTATTTGAACCAAGGCAGATTAAAAAAAAAAAGATTATAAAACTAAATAAGTTTCAAAAACAATCTTTTCAGTGTAGCGGCACAAAACTGCACTTCAAACAAGAGAGGGAGATACACAGAACGCATACCAAGTATGTAGATTTATACACGTGTCATGTTAGAATACAGTGACCAATGACCAATGTAAATTTGTCTCGGACTTAAGTAACCTCTCGAGTATGTCCAGCTTGCTCAAAGGCTTACCGAGGTCGATTTATCTCGACTTAAAATGCTTTTTTCTTAGTCATTGTTGTACATCAGAAGAGAATACTGATAAATGAGATGGACGTACCTAGGCGTGCAGCAAAAATATTGGGGTTGGATCTCCTCTCTTTTGATTAAAACGTTTATTTGGGAAGGTGTATACCAAAACCGAAAATATTATGGAAAAATTAATCATCTAATGTATTTTTTTTTCAATTTCTTCCAACCAAATGTACATTTTTTTATTTTATAGAAAGAAAACAATTATTGCTTTTATCCAACTCGCAAATTTCTTTAATTGTAAAACATACTAGAAATAATTTTACAAATTTCTCTTTTAAGAATCAAAACTTCCATCAATTATTTGCCCCAGACTACTGTACGCCCTTGATCACGTGATATGATGAGCATTGCATTCATTTTTTTTTACAGTATTCAAAGACGTCCACACGATGGATGCCATTAAAAAAGACCTCTCACAGTCCAGCTATAAAGGCAAAGAACAGGAAAAGGCACAGCCAGGAACCATCCGTCTTGACATGTGTGTTTGCGGCGGTACCTGCTGCGCGCTGCAAGTGACCCTGCAGGCAGCAGATTTAGACGAAGCTAGAACTTTACACGATCAACTAACTCCCCTATGTCCAATTCTTGTAAGCTTAATAATAATAATAATAATAATATTAAAACAAAGTAACCTTCATGTAAATGAGGGTAAAATGTTGATTAATACCTGTGAGCACGTTTTCAAAAAAAAAAAAAAAAGAAAACTGTCGGCTTGAATTTTATGATTTTATGTACACGTACAATCGATCTTAGTACATTTAATATGATGGCACTGAAAAAATGAGTCACGGCATTTATAGCTAAAAAACGTGTTAATTTATTTAATTTAGCAAGTTTTCTCATCAATTGTTTAAAAACGAATTAGATATTCACCCATTCCGTAATCAAACTGTGATTTGATAGACCTTGATATGCTGAGATGGATGTAACTTTCAGCATACTTTTTGTTGGAGTGACATGTTGAAGAAACATTAAAAAAAAACATTTTTATCAGATTGCAATACACCCCATGTCTTTTGATCGAGTTATATGGTTTGTTCGATAGATGGCGTTGAGCGCAGCTACCCCCATTCACAGAGGTTACTTGTCAGAAATTGATTGCCGCTGGCCTTTATTTGTCCAATACACTGATGAGAAAACTCCAGAAAATATGTGGCAGGTATAAGATCGCCAAATATATCGTTGCTTTTATTCTATTCCGTTTTGCAAGAAAAATAAACTTGATTTCACTTAACGTTGATTTGATATTTTACGTTGCCATAAGAAGCAATGGTTCAATTTCAATTACTACGAAGGCTCACGGTATAACAACAATAAGTTTCCGGGGTCATCTTTCCAGAACAAAAGATCCGGTGCTCACAGAACGACCAAGACCCGTAACGACTCAGTGAGTTGCTATGCACAACCTTATAACTCTTGCTATAACGACGGACCTATGTTCACTGACGACGAAATATTTGGGACGCTTGTGGATGAAGGTGAGATAATAATAATAATAATAATAATAATAATAATAATAATAATAATAATAATGTGCTTGGAGGATGATATCTTAGGAACACGTAAAACACGAGTTAATCAGATAAATAACAATTGACCCTATGTTGATAATTGTTTTAGTTTCAATTGATATATCAATATATTTATATACAAAAAACATGATGATGTGCAAATGGAATATTATTTCTAATTTTATAAGTATTGACATTTTTACATAACATGTGTATTCCTTTTGAAAATATATTTCAAAATATTTCAAAAATATGCAGTAAATTTTATATAAGGAATGTGCTGTTTCATTTTAAGATGCAGTTTAATAAAAAATCGACAACTTTAACAAAGTCCCTCATATGATAATCCTTTACTCGATATAAGCTTTACGTTGACGCGTGAGCAAAAGATTTAGCGACCCTCCGTAGAAGTATATATACTAAGATAAATGAATACATTTGTTCAAATCATAGCCAGTTGTATTATATATTTATTTATATACTTGCTCTCGATTGAATTTATAACCCACTTCTTTCTTAAACCTTCAGATGTGGATGAGGCAATGTCTTGTTACGTCACCAACTTGTTCTCGCGAGATCCTTGGGGATTATCTGAGAGCCACGTGCAACAGTCTGGAGTGGGCCGATTGAACTCCATCGGTCTTTATAATGTATGTGTGTAATAATTTATAGGATAATTACTGGGAAATTTGTTCTAGCACAGGGAAAAAAATAAATAAAAAAAAATTAAAAAAAGATACAGATAATATCGATGATTTATAAATAACAGATTGCCATAGTAACATATTTGTTGGTTTGTCGTAAAAAGAAATATCAAACGTACATTCCTGTTTTCTTCCATGTAGTAATCTTTCAATATTTTACGTATGTCGATAATTCAAAATTTTACATTCAGGTCGTGCAAGGAAACAATTATCCGTCTGTTCGATTAAAAATCCCTTCGCAGTCTGCTGGTTGGTGCGTGGAATTCAGGCCACTAGATGTATGCTACATGTAACATATTGTAAATTTGTGCGTGTGTGTGTGTGTGTGTGTGTGTGTGTGTGTGTGTGTGTGTGTGTGTAAATCAACACAGGCGACTACAGTGTAGTTTAAAATACCAGGATACAATAAATGCTTCTAAAACCAATGTTTGGAAAATTAACTATTTCATGAATTTAAGATGTAGATGTATATTGTACTACTACTGGACTGTATTTTCATAAGTAAAAGGTGCCTGCCCCCCCCCCCCATGACTGCAGTCAAGTATAAAATGTTCAACATTAGAGCAGCCAAACGGTATCAAGAAAATCGTGTACATGTATTTATACATAACATAATATAATATAATATAATATAATATAATATAATATAATATAATATAATATAATATAATAATGCTTTGTTCTATAGGTGCAGTTGACGGATTTCGAAAATGCTGCATTTTCAGTATTTCTAGTTTTGCTGACGCGGACCATTCTGACTTATGACCTTGACCTTGTAGTACCAATTTCAAAGGTAAAGAACGTATCAGCGTTACTCAACCTACATGTACTGAGCGCGATAGGCCTTTTGGTAGCCAAAATATTTTACTTGGCATTTTAAACACGTTGTCCTTTATTAACAGGATATAGCATACTCCAAAACGCTGAGAAGATTATGGGATATAAAGCAGATTGCGTTTCTCGAAAAATGTTACCGTTACGAATGAATTCAATTTTCTCCATTTCTGTTACTAAGGTTTACTCAGGAATCCGTTTACAGCGATGAATCAGTAATGTAGAAAGCAAATATATGATGGTATACACAATAACGCCGTAGATAGATAGATAGATTTTTATTTTACCATCTCCGAGCAGAATACAATATTTAACAGAACAAACAAAACAAAAAGTACTTTACATATACCATTAATAATCGTAGGTTGACGAAAACATGGAAACAGCTTCAAAAAGAGACGCAGTGAGATCAAGCAAGTTTTACTTCAGAGACGATATGTTTGGCGATAGAGGTGAAGTTTCCTATTGGAAAACAGAATTAAAGGTTTTTTTGTTAAGCATGTTAATTGATAGATGTCATAATTCCGAAAGGGACGTTACGCTGTTATTTTGGTTCTAATGTTTTACGGTTGTCGGACTTTATTTTATACCACTGAAATTGGTGAAGTGTTGCATATTGTAAAATAATGATTAACGGTGCTAGCATATTGAACTTTTGTTTTCTATCTATATTTAAATGCACTTAATATTTTAGAGCTCCTTCATGCACAAAATGGTGTTCAAAAGGCAAAAGGCGTTAAAACTACTACAGCGTTTTCTTTGTTGACAGCCGACGAGATTATAAATGGGAAGGTATATCTACCGTTTTGTGCTTTATACATATATTACTTTCTCTCTCTTCCTTTCTTTCTCTTCTTCTCTCTCTATCTCTAATTCTCTCTCTCTCTCTCTCTCTCTCTCTCTCTCTCTCACACACACACACACACACTCATACACACACACACACCTAAGCACACTAAACTGTATTTTCATACCAGTTCAACACATGTTATAAACTTGGGTTAGGTGAGAGCGTATGGCAGGACATTTCTTAAAAATGGCCATGCAGAGACAACAAATAGTAGGCCCAGGATCACGCTGAGTTAAATAATAATGATAATATTCAGTTATTACACCCCCACCTACAGGAGTTTCAAGTGTACAGAGAAGCTAGACGGAATGATCTATATGTTGGTGAAGGTTTTTTATGGGTCTATTCAAAATAAGTGTTTTATTTTAGAGGCGTGAAGAAATATTCGTCAAAAAAATACATTGAATGCATTATGCAAAAGGGAAAATATCATGTATTTCAGGTCGTACTTACCTTTCTGAGGGTAGCTTTCTCAATTTCAAGACAATGTCTTTACGTCAAGCTATATGTGTCTGCGTGTCACTTGCATTTTCAGCCCAAAGCCTTCCCTGGACTTATCCCATTGGTTAACAGATACTTGGACGATCATGGCGGAATTGACATAGAAACCAGATTGGCTGCGAATCGGTACCTTGACTTCATAGGAAAACGAGGGTCTGGTAAGAAATGAAATTAATTTTTACTGGATCATTTAACGTCACATATTAAACGTGTGCCTTTTAATTAGCAAACATAATATTCCTTTGAGCCATTTTCGTTATTGAGATAAAGGCTGGTAAAATTCAACGCAGTGGCAAAGATAAAAAAGCAAGAGCTAAAAAAGGGGGGTTATGTGTCTACATTTTATCAAGTTTTTACTTGGGTAAATCTCGGGAATTCTAATCTTGATTAATATTAGGTTTTAAAGTAAAATTACGTGAATTTTTGGGACTTTTTTATGTACATTACTTTCAATTTGCTATCAACTTTTATAAAAAACGGAATGATATTTTAAATTTGATTTTGTTACGTGTACAATATAAAGTCAAAACAGCCCCCCCCCCCGTCTATGCACATCGTATATGTGTAGTTCATATCAATAAAATGTTAATGTTTACTAAAATCCAAACTAAATACCAGTTTTATTTGTCATTGCAATATAACCATTTATTTCAACAGACATCTAATTTCAGGTGAAATACCAACAGTTGCTAGATGGATGCGAGAGTTTGTGACGTCACATCCAGACTACAAAAAGGATTCCGTAGTCAGTGAACACATCAATTATGACTTGATATCTCGATGCAATGAGATCTCAAGCATGAAATCAAAATAATTATTCTAGAATCACCGAATTGTTTTTCCCCTGACGTCTTTATATTTAAAAGAGGAAATGGTAGTGAACCAAAGGTCATAAATTACACAAAAGCAGCCCTGATAATTGGTATAACATATTGGTCCTCTCTCGCCTCAATTTACATGATCTGTTCTAGTATCAGGCCTATCCAACTACCAGACTCGGCACATAGGGATCCTGAATTAACCGGTATATCGGACCACACTACCCGTTTTCAAGGTGTGTGTCAGATCGCAATTTGGAGTATCATACCCCAGAACAAATTTTGTAGGACGATCGCGGGCTCATCCTGTCGGTGTTCTGACTGATACTCCGAAATGCAGTCTGACACACACCTTGAAAACGGGTAGTGTGGTCCGATATAGCGGTTAATTCAGGATCCTTATGTGCGGAATCTGGTAGTTGGGTAGGCCTGAGTACATTACGCTGCTCTTGTCTCCCCATTCACAGTATTCCTGTATCACAACAAGTCCTCTCTCCTCAAACACATAATTCTTATATCAGTTCACTCCTGTCTCCTCAATCACATAATTCCTCGTTCATATGGTTTCTTTATCCAGGAGGACTCTCCATGTGAAAATCAAATATTTTCTAAAGTTTTTGTAACATTAGTACTAGTAGCTTATGCTTTTACTTATTGCAAGTAACAAGTGAAGTTAAACAATTTTTTTTAAATATATATATATTAATAAAAATCTAGCGAGTTATTAAATGGAATCTTAATTTCTTTAAGAGTCAACAAAGGTGAAAGTTGCTTTCCTGATAGGAAAAGATGGAAAATGTCAAATGCACATGAATTAAGTTTTATTTGATTAGTCTATTTCACAAACACATTGTAGGTTTCTGACATCCGTGAAACGCATGCAAATTGAGTTTTGAGAACAATCCAAGTATGATTATAATTCAAATAGAGATCGCCTTATAAAGAAATGTAGAATGGCGGAATGACAAGTAAAATGGAAAATGCTGGTGATCACGTAGAAGACAATGTAGCGAAAAAAGGAAATACGTACACAGAAATAGAGTATACTAACTCTTGAATTTGTAGGAGAAATTTTGTGAATAAACGTTTGAAAACTCCAACTAGTCGTCATTACCGTCACTATAAGAGACCGTTCACATGAAAAATCTATTTTCTAAAAATCTAAAAATTTATTGGCGGTATCTTGTGATCACGGTCTGTGCCCTGAATACCCCATGGCGTAATTACTGGCAGCGCGAGCCAGTTACTTCCAAAGCTGTAATTAATTCCCGGCTGTGCTCGTAGGAGATTCTGACACTTTGGCGCATGCGCAGTAGTATCTCTAAACTGTGGAGTTCATCAGTTTAGTTGTGACAACTCAAGCATACAGACGCGTAATACGGCTAGTGGTAGTGCTTGTTGTTGCACAAAATCGACAAACACATTTTTCAAAGCAACTGCGACCGTCATTTACTTTCTAACTTCCTACTTAATCGGTAGTACACAGTTGCAAAATCATCAACTGTGGTGACGGAATGTCATGAGTTCAATTCTCACGCGACGCAAGTCAATTGACCACAACGACGACCTCATATTTAACTGTGAGCACTATTCGTTTGGGAATTATATGTTTACTGTAGATAATTCAGGCGTACATTACCTAAATATCATTTCTCAATCCTATTCAATGTTTATCACTTATTTTCTTCATATCTTTTATAGAGGGACTTCCCACCACCAGTCCCCCACTTTGAAAGCGTTAGTTATTCAGTCCTGCTTGATATAAATCCGATATTCTACCTTTTTTATTTGACCACAGCACAGATTGCGATATGCGGTTATACAGGTAATGTATTGTGCCGCTAGGAGAAAAAAAAAGACCATACCTCTTCTAAGTAGCAAGGAACCACTTCAACATGGGCCGATGATACCGATATGAGTAATGGCCACCGGTAAGACCACATGGAGATTTAGAGCGGCGAAACACCCAATAGTACAGTAACGTTTAGCCCTGGAAGTGGCCTGAGTAGGTTACCATCAAGTTCACAGGCACGTAGAAAGGGTAGTGGAGGATACGCATTCATACAGACACTGTTATCGTCGACCATCTGTCAACAGGAAGGCGCGCTAACGATTCTTTGTTCAGGACGCGGGTGACACATCATGGATGGTTTGACACAGAATGGAGAAAGGTGGTTGACGGCAGAGGAAATCAGTGACATTTGGCCGCGCATTCGCCTCCACGCCGTCCGGGAGTTTGTCGAAAAATACCAGGCGTATAAAAATGAAGCAAAGAAGGGTCTTCTATGGGGTGATGAGGTAGGATATTTCTTAGTGGCCTTAGATTGCGATGCATTTCACATATTTTGTAAAGATTGATGTCAATCTGTCAAAAACAAACCCAGCAGGCAAACGGCATTGATTCTACGTTGATTCAACGTTGATCCACCAAAATTAACGTTGATTCAACGGTGAATCAATGTCGTTTGTCTGCTGGGAAGATTCTGGGATCATATTACCTGTATAGATCATGATCAATCAACATACATTTTGATGTACGTAGTTCATAAAAAAAGAGAGTGTGATAATTTTTACACCTTGTTTGCTGTCGAAAACAAGACACCTTGCTTGGAAATTTGTGTTCAAAGCCACAAACTAGTACAACACTATAAGCCCCCTTTACAATAGACGGCGTCCTTTCTGCGTCCAGCAGTACGGCCCCATTTGAGAGTTAAAAAATTATAATACTTTACGTGCCGACAGCTGGCCGATCATTGAGCATTCATTCTGATACAAAATCAATACTCGTTCCTCCTTATTAAGACCACAGCGATGCCAAATTTCATGGTCGCAGAAAGGACGCCTCCCAGTGTAAAGGGGGTATAAGGGTCCCTTTACACTGGACGGCGTCCTTTCTGCGTCCAGCAGCACGGCCCCATTTGAGAGTTAAAAAATTAAAATATTTCACGTGCCGACAACTGGCCGATCATTGAGCATTCTTCTGATACAAAATCAGTGCTCGTGATTCTTTATTAAGACCACCGCGATGCCAAATTTCATGGTCGCAGAGAGGACGCAGAAAGGACGCCGTCCAGTGTAAAGGGGGTATAAGCTCGGTGAATGTGACATCCTCTCGTTGATTCCATTCATGTGTGTCATAAACGCGTCTTTGGCAACTTGCATATATATATGTAATCCATCTGTTGAGGGAGGGGGTACTGCACTCTTAGCTTCTGAGACCCGTCTCCTGCTTCTATCCATTTATTCCCTCTAAAAATAATATGACAAACGGAATGAGAAAAAAATAATAAAAAATGCATCACTTATTGTATACATTAAGGTAAAATTAACATTCAGTTTTATCCATTTTGCTGAAAAGATAAATTTACCCTCGTTCACTCCCCTGAGCAATAATCAGGACCCACCATGGCTTTTAACACTTGTCGGCAATCTGCACGTGACATACACTCGGGCTTCTTACTCACTTACCTGCATTATATACGGATATTATATACAATTTGCTGTGCTATATTTATAACATCCACAATTCGTGAATGAGAAAAAATAATTGTTATTATAAGCGTGCATATCTTATTTGCTGGGTCTACGTCAGAGAGAGAGAGAGAGAGAGAGAGAGAGAGAGAGAGAGAGAGAGAGAGAGAGAGAGAGAGAGAGAAAGCAAGCACCTTATAAATGCATCTGTTTGAAGTGAACAAATAGAAGTAAACAAAAAAAAAATGTGGCGTTCTGTGACCAGATTTTCGCACTTATCAATGTGGACACTGCAATGAGGGAAGAAAAAGTTTGTTTTTTTATTTAGATATGTTGCTCTTTTTGCTTTCCGTGAGGTTTGGTAAAAAAAACGAAGGCAGTCAAGACACGCGTACGGACAGGAAAAATCGTTGAACATTTTGCCTGTCATGCACTCTGAAATTATTTTTTTTACATTCATCTATGCTTTTGTTAATAAATTTGTTAAAATGATTTCAAATGTGTTCAAATACATTGCACACATTATAGGAACTAGATATTTCCCTTATTTTCACTATTTGGTTGAACACTTAATGAATATGTAACAGCTCTCACTGTACTTTATTTACGAACCCGAGTTTACTCTGTGTGTGAACATGGCAGAAACAAGAAACGAATGTCTTTTAATAATTTACAAATAAATAAAATGAACTTAATGCAGAACTGAACTAACATAGGAAAATTTAAATGAAAGACATTAATGAACTGAAGATACTTTCTAAATTTCTGAACAAAATAAGGATGAAAATAAATGAAAATAACTGAAATTATTAAACAAAATAACTTAGAGAAATAAAAATATTAACACAAAGAAAGTGAAAAGCAAACCAATCAAGTCTGTCTCACCTGTGTGTGAACATGGCAGAAACAAGAAACGAATGTGCCGCGCGTAACAAAGAGGGGCGTGTTTTATATAGAAACGAAGACACACGGACACAAACGAAAAGGCACGAAAACATTTCTCTACACTAACACAACCACAATCATACATCATACATACACATGTTACAAATACACAATTGATTTTTACTCAGTGATTTTTAAATTTCAATAAGATTTTTAAAAACCGGCAGCAAGCAACAGAGATTTTTCTACACTCTCGACCTTAAAACTGATTTCTTAGAAAAAAAATTTTACATGTAATATAGAACTGACGACTTTAGGCTAAAATAAGAAATGTAATTAGTGATATTTAACAAAAATTTATGTAAAGACATGAAAAAAGATTAAGGTACCCAAGAAAATGTATAAAATATACTATATTTTGATTAAAATGCTCTGCCAAAGCGTTGTCGTATTAAAAGAAATAAAAGCTGTATAAATAAGAAAAAAGAAAAGAAAAAAAACTTTAAGTCTTTGTATTTAAGGGATACAACTACAGGTAAAAGATACATGGAGACGTATGGTTTGTTTATAATTCCCGACGGGGTTAGGTGAAGAAATATCTGGACAGAAACCACGATGAAAGAATTGATAAGGCGCAACC